GATATGCTGGAGAGCACTCCGGCACCCTTCTAACCGGTTTTTCTATGTTACAGGATTCCCTATAATCTTCCAAGACCGGTAAGGTGACCTAACATACAATTCATCACCAGTCCTTAGGGCCCCTTTGTCCCTCTCAACCTACTTCTTGTTGTCGGAACCTACGTTCAGATAGTTCAAATCTCAGCCAGAAACGATCAGACATCCTGAAAGCAAACCTTCACTACCACCCTGGTTCCCTTTGCCCCGCTGAACCTCTTCCCGTTTTTCCAGAATTACCATCTTGGCGAACCAGAATTCATCCTGGGAGAAATTTGTTCCTACTTCAACTATTGTGTAAAAATCAGCACGCACAATTTTCATCAACCAAAAGCATCTGCAAATTCTAAAGGAAGTAGGGGGTGGATTGAAATTTGCAAACCAAAAATATTCTACAAAAGATTGAGGAAGATGAAGTGTTTCTACAAAGATGGAGATGTGTTGTTATTTGTATTACAAAAAGATTATTTGTACCTTGGAGGATTATACAAGTTCAGTTGGGTAAGGTTCTGAAGAGGAGTTTTAGTTTGGAAGCATTTCAGGCAGACAAAGCTATATTTTTCTATAAAGATAGCATATAGGTTGATAGGATTTGCAAATCTAGAACGTTACAGTTATAGGGTAGCGGCTCTGTCAAGCTTCAACAATGGAGCTATAAGTTCAATGCTTCTAGAAGTTATGTGTTATTTTTGGGTGGGTGGATTGCAATTGAAGGATTACCATTTCATTTGTGGCATCACGAGTTTTTAAGAGGATTGGTGATTGTTGTGGGGGATTCATAGGCGTTGATCCGAAATCTGAAAGTTTCAAGAATTTGTTTGAAGCTCTAATTCGAGTCCATAAACCTAAATCGGGTCTTATCAAGACATCTTTTGAGGTTCATTTTAATGGGGAATTGTTTCTCATAAAGATTAGGGTGGTATCGAATTTGGGCAGGTTGAATCGCATGGAGAAACATAAATTGTATTAGAGAGGTAGCACAGAGTTTTTGTGCAACGAGCAAGAGGTTGAAGATGATGTCTTAGGGTTTTAAGGTACATGTGGCAACAATAGGAGGCAAGGTGAGGATAGAGTTGGTGAACTTAGGTTGATAATTTGTTGGTTGCCGTAATTAATGGCCCTAAATCTACTGATTACTGAGTTAATGTGGATTTGAAGCAGATTTGAATTTTAAAAAATAGAGATAATGGGAAGTGACTAACTTTTTCAAAACTTATTTGGCTTTAAGTACCACCTTCAAATTTATCCTCTTTTAAGTCATCTTTTTCATCAAATAGTTGCCAATAAATACACATTTTAAAACATTTTCAAATTCTTTCTAAAATGTATTCCATAATTACCCCTACCATAAATAATGCATACCTACTTAAATGTAAGACTTTCAAAATTATTTTTAATATTTGTGTATTATTTGAATTTTGAAATTTCATATATATATATATATAGACACACACACACACACACACACACACACACACACACATATATATATATATATATTTATGTATCATTTTTTTGGAAAGTGCATACCTACTGTTATTGTTACACTATTACAATATTTGGATATTAAATTAATTTGAAAATAAAACCACTTTAAAAAAAACGCATGAATCAAAGTGCATTAAATATAATTTGAAAACAAAATCATTTTCTAAAAAAAAAATACTCATGTATCAAGGTGCATTAAAGATAATTCAAAATTTAGATAAAAAATTTGACAACAAGTATATATATACGTATTTATATGTATTAACAACACAATTGAATCAATGTGCATTTAACAAACACACATGAATCAAGGTGTATTAAAGATAAGAGATTTTGAATTAAATAACCCTAAAATGGGCATTTATGTCTTTGTATCTCAGCTGTGTACTTTTTTTCAAAATATTTTGTTCTATGTACGTTTTGCTAAATAAGTCTAATTAGATATACCGGCTTCCGAAGAACCTATTTTTAAATCTGTTAAGGTTTTGGCCCAATGACAACACCTCCCGAACAACCCCACAGAGGGTAAAAAAACCTAATTCTTAAACCTTGACCTCCACACACCGCTAATAACTCTCCGATCAATGACTTCCAACTTAGTTTCTTGCAAAACAATCACATCCGATCTAATCCTTCCCAAACAAGGCTTAATTGTAGCTCCCTTCTTCCATGACCCTAATGCTCTAATATTCCAACTAGTGATGTTCATAACAAACATAGCTCTCAACCTTCCTAGAACTACCACCATCATAATTAATTCTGGATTGTAAATTTTTTAGCTCTCACCCCCTTTCACTTCCTCTCACTTCTAACTTTCTTTTTATTTTATCCTTTCTCCTTGGTTGGACCTCATCTGAAAAAAGCATTCACGTAAAATTTGAAGTAAATTTGACAGTTATTATCTATTAGAGTAATTTGAAGTAAAATTGATATTTTAAAATACAATATGAAAAATTTTACAATTAAAGGTATAAAGTAAGGCTTAGAGTTCAAAAGAATAATTTACCCATTCTTTTCTGGTTAGCAAGGCTTTGACACCACTTATTAGAACATAAAAGGAATGTCCAATAACAAGGATTAATATATACTTTTGAAACTCATGTGTGTATCTCAAAGCGTAAATCTTAGGTAGTTCATTAACTTATATAGGTTTCACAAGTGATAATTCTAACAGTTATTAACTTCAATCATTAACCATTATATTTATTTGCTATAAGTGGACCCAAAGGTACCACTATCGAATCCTTGTGAACATAACCATGGATGAATGATTGAAATTGAATAAATTAACAAAAAATTAAAATCAATATAATCAACAATTAATTCTGGGTCCCATAGGGGTGGAGCTAGACTCCAACTCCCGTGGGAGAAACCTTCAATATATGAATACTCAATCTCGGAGTGTTAATACTATTTTACAAAAGTATAATTTTATCAAAATAACATAAACAAGCAATATATAAAAAAAGTTCACTAGAAAATTGTACGAAATAAATACTTTTGTATCACAAAAATAGTGCCCAATAATGAATTGATTCAATACATGGAAAAATCCAAATTCTTGAAAATTTTCATAATTGTTTTAACAAGTTTTCACAAATGGTATTTGAAAATTCTTTCTCGACATATGCAGTTAAGTAATCATTCATCTCTTGATCTCTCGACTTTGTATTATATTCCTTGCTGAAAAGTATTTATTGAAAATAATTCATTATTCAATCTCAATCAATCAAAATAGGTTAGGAAGTCAAACAATTTTTAATATAAATACAAGTCTAGTAAATCAAACTTATACATACAAACAACCTAATTTCTTACAATCAGATTCTTCAAACCTAGCGAACCAAATGGTTTAATTCAAAAAATAATCCATAAATTCTAAATATAACAATCCCATTAAATTTAACAACTTACAATTCTCTATATTAATTTAACATACAAAAATAACACAACAAAAAAATATATATGTGTTCAAAGAGACCAAATCCGGAATTGTAGAAATAAAGTTCTTGGAATCACCGGATATCTTAAAAGTAAAAATAAAAGCACTTTTTGTTGTTGCTAAAAACTAAAGAACCCCATGTATTTGAGAAAATACATAACTAGTCTTGAGTTTTAAATATTTTCAATGGGGGCAATTTCTAAAAGATTTTAAAATTTCAAAATTTCACCTTACTCCCCAAATATTTTTAAAATTTAAGTGGGGGCAACTTTTAACATATTCTAAAATTCCAATGGGTTCAACTTTTAACAAATTCTAAAATTTCATCTTACTCCCCCAAATATTTTTAAAATTCCAGTGGAGGCATCTGCCCCTACTATCCCCACTGTAAATCCGTCTCAGGGTCCCATAACATTTTTAATTTGGCGTGCTTTGAATTACGCGGAAATGGATGCCAGGCATTTGTTGCATGCTGATGTTGCTGCTTTGTTTCTGGATGGTACTTGCTCAAGTTACTGTTAAAGCGTTAATGTATAGATTGCTGTTTTGCCCACTTTTTCTTTCTTTGATCCTTTTGGAATTTGTAATCATACTTTTTTTTCTTTTGGTTTGGGGATGAAGGGTCTTCTTTTCTCCTGTTCAGAAGATCAACCATCCCCTTTGAAATCTCTCTTGTACAACATGTATCCTTTTGTTGTTGTTTTTCTCTTGTTTATATTATTATACCGTCTTTTTTTCCCTTTAGTGTCAATTGAATTTGTAATTATCAAGCATGACATAATGTATAACCCGACTTTTATCGGATTGGAGAAAAAAAACTTGTCGAAGTTCCCATTTGAAATTAATTTTTTGACTCCACCACTTCAAGGATTAATTTTTCGCAAATGACTAATTCTAAAAATATCACAACCTTGAATCATTGAACCACTGTCGAATACTATTGACTCAATGATAAAGAAAAAAAAAAAAAGACAATAAAATCACCATTCTTTTTGTACAAAAAAACACAAATACTCTGACTACCCCCATAAAATAAGAGGAAAACTATAAAAAATATTATTGATGGACTTGATTCGATGCTTCAAATGGTTACAAAAGGTAAATTTTAATTTATTAATGAGTTAAGCGTTGACGGCTAGGTACCGTCATCCCTCTCCTCGAGATGAAATTAGGTACTCAAGATGAATATTATAATCGTACTTAAAAAAATATCTAATTTTTTTACTAATAATATGTAAAGTGATAAAATCTAACCTTATCACTAGGTAAAAAAGTTGTATCAATTTTTTAGATATAATAAATAAAAAATGTACTGGCCATTGCACCAATGAAATGATCTGCAGGAGGGAAGCAAGTCCACGCAAGACCTTTGGCTTCACATTTGCAATCATTGGCCAGACTAAATTATAAGTACCCATATTTCCAACAAAGAAATGAATCAAACTCCTACCTCTTACCTACCGTAGATTTTCGGAAAATTTCCAAATGAATTGAACTCCTAGCTACTGTACTAGCCTCTCAGCCAGGAAAAAAAATGTCTGAGGCTATTGTCTCTTTTGTTGTGCAAACGCTCACTGATCTATTGAAAGAAGAAGCCGAATTTTTAGCCGGAGTTGACGGCCAGGTACAGGGTCTTCCGCATGAACTTAAGATGTTGCAAAGCTTGTTGAAAGATGCAGATGCAAGGCAAATTGAAGACGACCCCGTCCGCACTTGGGTTGAAGGCGCTAGAGAAGTTGCATATCATGCCGAAGATGTCCTTGAGACTTATGTTCTCCAAGTTCAATCCAAGAGGAGGGGAGGTATCCTAAACATCCTCAAAAGGTTCGCTTGCTTATTGAATGAAGGTATGCTCCTACACAAGGTTGGGAAAGAGACCCAAGGTATTAACACCAGGATCTCTCAACTCACCGATCAGTTAGACAAATATGGCATAAGAAGTACAATAAAGGAAGGAGAAAGCTCAAGCTCTGCGCATGAAAGGCAACGTCAGTTAAGGCGGTCTTATTCTCATGTTGTTGAGGAGGATTTTGTTGGGTTGGAGAGAGATGTTGAGAACTTGGTGGTTCATTTGGTGAAAGAAGATAGGGGCAAGTACGACCAAGTTGTTTCCATTTGTGGCATGGGGGGTCTGGGCAAGACCACTCTTGCTAGAAAGATTTACAATCACCCAAATGTAAAGCGTCATTTTGATATATTGGCTTGGGTTTGTATATCTCAAAAATGGGAAACAAATGATATTTTGCAAGGAATCCTAATTAAATTTGTCCCGGACAAGCGTAAAGAAATTATGAAATGGAGAAATGAGGAGCTAGTTAGGGAACTTCTGCAAATCCAACAAAACAAAAGATGCTTTGTTGTTCTCGATGATATTTGGTCAGCTGATGCTCGGAAACCTGCCTTCCCTGTTGGAAAGACTGGTAGCAAAATTTTACTTACCACTCGTAGTATAGAAGTGGCGTCACGAGTAGATCCCAATGGTTGCCTCTATCAACCACGAATTTTGAGTGAAGATGAAAGTTGGGAGTTGCTTCAAAAGAAGGCTTTGAGAAACCGAGAGAGTACAGGTATTTTATCACGGTACTGTGCATTATAGTTACGTTGTTATCAAATTGTTAGTTTTTCGTTCCTCTCTCTAACAACCAGCTTTTTCCCTGTGTGGGAGTGTGTTGTTCCAATGCATTCTGTGTTGTAGTCTATTGGTACTTTTAGTGTACATAGTTTCCTTTCGTTGTAAAACTTGTTGTTATCTAAATCTAATATACTGATTTAATTCATTAAATTAGTTGTAAGTCTCAACAAAAATTAGGGTTTACTATTAGTCCAATGGTTATGAATGATTAGGTTAGTAAATTAGGTTTTAGGAAGCATCAATGGAAAAACTACAACTAATTAAAATAATATCATAAGTATTTTAGATAATAATAAAGATAAACCATATTTCATAATATAATATTGTCATATATGAAAAATATAACTAGTAGATTTGTATGTGTATAATTATATACCTTTAATCATGATGACTTTCCGTCCCCTCTTACTTTAAAAAATCTTCACTTAACTTTTGGTATGATAATATTTGTAAATTGGTTTCATTTAGCATTTATTTGATTTCTTTTAGCAATTATTATTATTTTTTTTTTGCGTGATAAAACTTGTCATATTTCGAATGTAAAATTTATTGGTCTTATGTTGGCTAATGTCTAAAAAGTATCAATGTGGTGTTGGCGAGTATGCAATAAGTATCAATAGAGTATCTACAGTTGAGGATTTTATTTTTAGATTATGGATACATTGAAGAAGTATCGGGCACAAATCAAAGTATATTTATCAAGTTTTAATACGAATACGTTTTTCTTTTAGAAACATGCATGCTTCTTAGTTTGATACCCTTTTTTAAAAAACAAGAGAGAGGAGCATCTGGGCCAGTTAAGTCCATGTACATGGAGGCACTAAATGTTGATGAAGACATTCAAAAAATATTGCTTCAAAAAAAAAAAAATATTTCATTTGGTAGGAATTTCATATTCAAAATTTAAGGTGATATTTGGTAGAAGGATTGAGGAAAAAGAACTATGAAAAAAGTTGATTTTGGGGCCACCCAATCACACGGCCAAATGGGCTCTATGTTTGGGTATTAATTGTATTGAGCAGTTGATTTTTAAATTTTGGCGAACTATTTTTACAAGTGCTTGATAGTTGAAAATTTTAGAAATATTTATTTTTGTTCAAAAATAGAAAGCTAAAAATCTCTTAATTTCATCGATAAATAAGTTGATAACAAGTTACATGTCGAAATCACATAAACATTCTTTTTACCAAGTATAGTAAGTGAGAGTATGTGTTTATCATATATATATATACTAGTTAATGCTCGTACCTGAAGGCACTTACGTAACACAAAAAAATTATCATTAGAGTAAATACTATTTAAAAATACTCTTATGTAGAAGGAGAGATGTGTATTAATATATATAGATACACAGAGTCAAAAAAAACACTATAACATCACAAAATAACATATATATTTATTTAAACCAACCTCAAAAGAGTCAAATGGAACAACTGGAGACAATAAGGAAAAATGACTACCAATATAGGAACTTACGATAATAAACACGGTTGCCCACAAAAAGTAACAATAATGAATATTATTATAAACTGCGACATTTGTTTTGGAACTCAGAACTCAAACAACAAACTGAAATGCATATGTAGGAATAGTCATCCTATCTCACCTTAGGTGACTACTTAGAAGGATTTTTACCACATACCAACAACAGTCATGCTATTTCCACAAAGGGCATACAATATGCTTGAATCACAACAACTAATCCAAGCAAACCCACGTCCCTCCAAGGACAGTATAAATTTTGCTTAAATCATTTCAACAAATCCAAGCAAACCCGCACTACTCCACTTTAACCAATTAATTGACACCAAATCAAATCAAAACAATCAATAAATAAAGCAAGCAATTCCCTAGCAAACCCCAATGAATAAAGAAAGTATAAAGCTAATGGAAATTCTAATTATTATGCAGTGCTAATGAGCGTGAAAACTTTTTTTTTTTTTTTTGAATTGAGAGCATGAAAACAAACTTCAAACAACTAAAATGCATCAAAACTCACAATATAAAAACAGGTACAAAAAAAATAATAAAAAAAAATCCCGCAGCAGATCATGAGTGTGAGAGAGAGACTCACCTCAAATCTTTGAAATGAACCCCCAAGACTTTTCATTTAGTTAAACCATTGCAGTAAAACCTACCAACCATTGCACTAAAACTTGCAACAAAAACCCATTGATCAATGCAATGCGAATTAGCGTAATCACACAATTAAAAGAAACTCAAGTGAAGCAAACAGACCCACAAAAAATAGAGTCAAAATTCTTATAAATTATAAGAGAAAAGAAGAGAAGAAGGGGGAGGCGCACCTTGAATTGCTAATGCACTTCAATGCTAAAGGAAACACAATTTATCAATCTGTAAGAAAGATTTGAATCCATCTATACTCTTATAGTATGCCTGTAATCCTCAGCACAATGCTTTCATTTGCCAACATTCAGATTAAAGTCAATGGGTGCAAAACTGTGCTATTGAACACTGGAACTCGATTTTTTGCCCAATGCTAATGCAGAAAAATCCTTCATCTCAAAAAAATTGAAGCCATTAAGATGAGTAATCAAAGTATAGGCATCACATTACAAAAAAGAGTAGACATGCCAAGTACCCAACTCAAGTTTCAAAAGAAAATGACAGCACCCCAAACTACATTCACTTTTTTTTTTAACGAACCTCTCAATTATTAAAATACCAACCAACAGCCAAGTTGGTAGAAAACACGTATAACAACCATTAAATCCAAACCTCATGACACTCCTATGCTCATTTGGCAATTCCCATAGATGGCACGACATGCTTGAAGCTTCAAGAGGTGTTATTCCAACTGCAGTAGACAAAAGTAAGAACTTTAAAAGCCTACTAAAAATTGCCTATCAAAACAAAACAAATTTTACCCAAAACCAAACTTGAAAAAAAAAAAAGAACATAGATAAAACCCCAGTAGAAAAGCATCAAGGGCAACTCTTAGATGACACCATGATACAAACCTCCCTACTTATGCAACCTTCTTTACTCCAAGCAGAAATGCACTCGCAGCATTGACCCTCCATAGGCAACAAACAAAAACATCCTATACTGTTAGATACAGAGACTGTAAGCTATGTGTTTTTTCTCACAAACATTTTGTCAAACACCTTATGTTCATGCCTAAAGTCAAGGTAGTAAACAAAAAATTCAACCCATTATACCCATGAAAAATCATATCAATCAACAAAAAATGAAAAATAAAGCCTAGGATTGAAAGAATAGAACAGAGTAACTTTAGGAGACTCAACTCGTACCTTTACATTGCTAAAGGCATGAATTTGGCCCTTGAGTGGTATAAATGTCCATTAGTGTTGTTTTTGCACACTAATGGACAGTCAAGAGTGAAGACGAAACAATAACAAAAAATGACGAACATATAGTCTTACCATTTTTGTTCAGATTAGTGTTGTTTTTGCACGCTAATGGACAGTCAAGAGTGAAGACGAAACAATAACAAAAAATCGAGGCAACAAAAAATGACGAACTGTGCGGGCTCGATCCTGCACGATATATAAAATATTGGGAACAGATCTCTCCCTGGTGAACTTTGGGTGAGCCGGTTGAGTAGCCAAACACGCTGCTTGAAACAGCCTACAAGGTACGGTGGCAACCGGAAACGGCAAAGGGAGATCCTGGGAAAGGAGGAACGATCCTGTACGTGTGAAAGGTATTTCCTGGAGCAAAGGAGAACAAGTTAGAAGGGCGCCGGAGTGTTTTCCGGCGTATCCCCTCCGACGGTCTAGTCAGTCTTTGAATGAGAGAGAGGAAGGAGAAAACACTGAGAATGATATTTTCGTAGTTGAGAGTTTGAGATTGCATACCAGCTTTGTCTTTGGGAGGGGTATTTATACCTTAGAAGATCATGATTGCTGTCAGTGTGGTCAGTAGGTGATCATCAGGCACAGGTAGCGTGTGTAATCATTTGATGAGGAATGTCTTCTCTAATTGACTGCTCGGGGTCCCGAGCAATCAATGGTGAGTTGTCGGGACGCCGACGGTACAATATGCTCCTTTCGGGAAGGATGCAATAAATGCTCTGTAATAGGAGCATTTATTGCCTTTCATATCCGAACCTTACCGCATTAAATGCGGTCTCGTCAACAGAAGGGTGCAATTAATTGTTTGCTTTCCCAAGTCGCGTGCCAGCAGCGGCATGCGGTTTGTCTGCTTCGGATGTGACATTATTTGCCACGCGTCCATCCCTTATTGGCTGTTACGTCGGTATTCCAGCACGTTCTGACATTACTTGTGTAAGAAGAGGTCATGATGAATAGTCCATACTGGCATAGGCTGATGTCTAGTTTGTCAGTAGCTTTATCCGGGAGTAGAGGAAGCGTCCAGGATGGAGTGACCCTCGGCGCCGAGGAAAGGCTCACCTCGGGGAACCAAGGGGTGGTGTGTTCCCGAGGTACATGGTGACCGAGGACACAATGTCGGCGAG